ATTAAGAGTTATCGCTATGGTTGTTGCAGTTCCGAGTGAACTGTGCACTGTAACTCTGATAACTTATCTACACGAGAGAGTAAAATGACATGCATCGGCTAACTTTGTCCGTCTCATCATTGCACGAACACAAATTAACGAGCTGTTATGCTGCCGCTGGAACTGATGAAGTGTAGAAAGTAATAGCAGATATTAAATGACTAAATTATGATATTTGCTCAGGTGGATGCTGGAGTCTTATTTATCGGATTGCAACGTAAATCAATTTTGTTAATTAACATTACACATATGGCGCTTTTCCACTGCTTGGTACGACTCGGCTCGGTTTGCGTTTCCACTGCAGTTTAATATCGCTTTAGAGTGGGCGGGATTATTCACATGTCGTTATAGTTGCGCCGCCGCTACTGCCGCGAATCCTGAAAAACTTTTTCATTCCACGTCGCCCCAACAAGCTCTTGCTGGATCCGCTCCTGCTATCTGCTATCTGTACTTCCTCAACAGACAACAGACAACGAAACCGAAATTTTTCGGTTGTTAAAAAAGATGCGCTTGTTCAAAACAGTTTGTGGCGCAAGTTCAGTGACGCAGGTAGTGGTGATTCTCTCCGGCCAATCAGTGATCAGCAGAGTTTACACATCACGTTTCGGTAATGGTATGGTTCACTTGGAACCTTAACCGAGGAGGTACTAAAAAAAGTACCAGGTACTGTAACCAGTGGAAAACCCCCCAAAAGTGAACCGTACCGAGCCGTACCATGCAGTGGAAAAGCGCCAATAGTGTGCGTCTAATTAGAGTTAAGCCAGTTGGCATGGTAGCCCAGGCACACATAGTCATAGGCCACTATTGTTAAGCCGGTTGGCGTGGTAGCCAAGGCTCACATAGTCCTAGGCCACTATTGTTAAGTCGGTCGGCGTGGTAGCCAAGGCTCACATAGTCCTAGGCCTTTATTGTTAAGCCAGTCGGCGTGGTAGCCCAGGCACACATAGATAGTAATACATGTGGTTCACATGGCTCTTCGGAGCAGCAGCAGTACAAATGTCTTGGTGATAGATCTGCTTTGTGGGGTGTGTCTTGTCTTTCCTTGTCTGTTCATCTTCATGTGTGTGGATACATGAATGTCCACTGATGCAGCAGTTTATCCTTATATTCAGCGGCATGCATATATTGGCTTGTATTGTTTGTGTAACGTGTCTCCTGCTTTGTGGGGGGTTATTCATATGTGTTATATGTGCAGCAGCAGTATTTCTTACATGCTTACAGCAGCATGTTGTGGATGTATTTGGCAGTAGCAAGGTCGGCGTGGTAGCCCAGGCACACATAGATAGTAATACATGTGGTTCACATGGCTCTTCGGAGCAGCAGCAGTACAAATGTCTTGGTGATAGATCTGCTTTGTGGGGTGTGTCTTGTCTTTCCTTGTCTGTTCATCTTCATGTGTGTGGATACATGCATGTCCACTGATGCAGCAGTTTATCCTTATATTCAGCGGCATGCATATATTGGCTTGTATTGTTTGTGTAACGTGTCTCCTGCTTTGTGGGGGGGTATTCATATGTGTTATATGTGCAGCAGCAGTATTTCTTACATGCTTACAGCAGCATGTTGTGGATGTATTTGGCAGTAGCAAGTCTCGGTACTTGCTCTGCCGCAGCAGCAGCAGCGTAGCAGATCTATTCTAAGACCAAATACATTAACATTGTCATGTACATTACCATGCCAATACCTCTGAGAGTTGTCATGACAGAAATGTAGTTCCGCATTCATTGTTCTGCAGTAACATCAAAGACCTGGGCACAAGAGAACCCCTCGGAGGTGTCCCACTGCTGCTACATGGAAATATCCACACTTCAAACTCGAGGCTTTTTGCAGTGTGCAGAGTGCAGGCTCAGAGGTTTGGCCAGGGAAATCAATGCTCAACTGGAATGTAATATAATTTCTGTGATGGGTTAAAAAAAATGTTGTGTTAATTGGATCTTGAATTGTTGTTTTGTGGGGCTGCCTACAGCTTAATCAAGTCTTGTAAATACAAATAAAAGTTCTTCCCACCCTCATGACCCAAGACTGCTACATTTTTTTGTCAGCAAATGCACCATGGTAACAGTTAAAAATAGAACAGTACAATAGCAGCAGAACAGACCGGTTGACAAAAGGTAGAAGGTAGAGAGAACAACGTTGTGTAGAAAGCCAGCAATTCATCTACATGCATCCCTTTCCTTACAGTGCCAAAAAAGGAATGTAAATCACACTGATATAAACAGATTATTTGTTTTGTTAAAACATGCATCAATTTCTGTATTTACACATGAAATAAAGATATATGAATATAATATTGGGAGCAAATTGCCTGTTGAGACAGTTCTAATTTTACCAGCTTTTTGTAAATGAGTATGTTAAAATATAATACGTTATGGGAACAGTCAGTGTTTATAAAATATTATGACATTTAGTTCTTTGCATGCATCTAAATTATAAATGAGAAAAAAAACAGACGGATGGACAGACAGATGGATGGACAGACATAGATAGATAGATAGATAGATAGATAGATAGATAGATAGATAGATAGATACGATCAGTAAGTCTCAGATGTGTTGAAAGTTGGAGTTGTTCAAGTTCACACAGGTTGTGTGTTTACAGATATAAAGTCTGGTGTTTTTTTTCAGGATGTCCTCTGATCAAACTAGTGGCATAGCAGGAGGATTTAATGAGTGGAAATGTTCTTTCACACTGTGGCTCTTGTATTCTTTGGACGCTCAGACATGCTTACATAATATCTGCTCATGCTTGAAGTGCAGAGTCCTGATTGGTTCTTGATGACGGCAAGATTTACCATCAGCTTCCGACTGTATCAGCGACCGAGATCAGGATCTGTGAGTGAGTATGTGTGCCACTTGTTTACGCTAGCATTGCTCTTTCCCACAAGGACCCGATCCAGTCCAGTTTCCCACAAATACCTGATCTAAAGGTCTTCAATTCAGGAACAAAAGAATTTTCTAAAAGTGCCAATTTTACTAGACACTGATTTGGAAAAACACCCTCAATCACCTGAAGAATAAGAATATGGTTTGTTTATTCTGCTTATTTAAAGGCAAAGCACCGAGATGTAAAACTGTAGAAACACCACAATGCTCAGGAAATGCTCATAAAAATGCTGCTGAAAAATACAAAGATATTAGCATAACAACAACAATCCAAGCGTAACAAGCAAGACTTTTAGCAGTTTTCAAGAAATGTTATCTTAAGTGGTGAAGACAGCAAAGGCAAGATGAACATACTGTTATTACAGTAAGTATGACAATCAGCTGACAAATCAAATGCGTTAAAATCTAGGCAAGAAAATTGTGAAAAATATTTTAGATTTTCCAGTTCTCAATATTCTTAAACCAGAAATTATCATCACAATGAAATGCATATATCTTGTTTGAATAAACCGCATTTCAACATTGAAAAAGTGTAATTAACTGGATGTTTAGCTGGTGTTGAAAATCTTTCCATTCACACTTATCATTGTAAACCTAATAATACACTACGAGGAGATGCTACAGGCAATGTTTCAGTTTACGTGTGTCAAAAATAAAGCTTTTTCAATAAAAAAAAAAGAAAGCTAAAAGGTTTTATGCACCTGATGATTTTGTTTTTCTCTGTCAGTCTACTGAGGGTTGTCATATGCAGGCTATTTGTCTGGGCTCTATTATTATTGTATATTATCCAATTAGCATTGATACAAAACCTACATGCTTTAGACAGAACATTCATGGTCATTCCTCCTGTACATTTAGTCCTTAAAGCATCACTTAATGGCAAATATATGCTATGATTAAAAACATTTGACAAAATAGTTGCTTATGACAAAATAAATTGTAACTGAACAGTCTGAAAAGTCATAGCTTTATCTCAAGCGGTGATAAAACACACTTATCTTTGGCCATTCTTCTGTTGTATTCATTCTTCCACAGTCAAGTGACATTTGGCTTTAAAGTATGTGAATTTAAAGGAAACGTTCATCTAAAAGTCAAATTCTGTCATCATTTATTCACACTAATGCCATTCTAAACCATAAGACTTTCGTGACTAAATCTTAAAACAATTCACTGAAAAAATCCAGATCAAAAGAATGATTTGTTGTGTTACACTGAAGAAAGTCATGTAACGTTAGTTATGTTAGAATCATTGAGATACTATTATAGTTTTTATTTTTATATTTTCCATTTTAATTTTAACGATTACTTTTTTTATTTTTTATCATTTTCAGTAGTTTTGGTAACATGTTATATTAGGGAACACTATTCTAACTATAGCAAGTTGCTTATTAGCATGCATATTACTAGCATTATGGGCTGTTTGTTAATACTTATAAAGCACATATTAAAGCCTTATTCTACATGACCATATTCTAGGTCCCTTAACTCTACCCATTACCTAAACATAACAACTACAAACAACTACCTTACTTACTATCAATACACAGCAAATTAGGAGTTTATTGAGGGAAAACCCTTAGTTAATAGTGAATGTGTTCCCTGATCCAAACATTTTTTTTTTATTAATTCTTATTTCAGTTTTAGTTTTAGTTATTTTAGTAAATGCTATTAAACTAAGTTAAAGTGACTTGCTGCCTGTCAAATAGTTAAAATAAGTAAACTATATATATATATATATATATATATATACAGTGGTGTGAAAAAGTGTTGGCCCCCTTCCTGATTTCTTTTTTATTTCAAGAATTGAAAATGTTTTTAATGGTTTTAGTTTTAGTTTCAGTTTTAGTTAACTATTATAACATTGGTTTGGAACAACATAATGTTGAGTTAATGATGCCAGAAAGTAATTTTTGGTTGAGCTATCGCTTTAAACCATGTGCAGGTTAAGGCAAATATAACTGCCATACAATGTTACAAGATTTATAGAAATATGTTTATAAATTGCATTAATACACAACTTTATTTATTCAGCAGTCAATGAAAGATTAATGATTGTGTATTGATCATATTTCCAATTATGACCAATACTATCAAAAAACTTTCATTTGCTTACAGAATCATGCTATCGGTGCACATCGCATCTAAAATTATGCAATGAAACAAGCTGAGATGCTTCCACTCCAACACTGTTTCATGCCTTTTCGGTCACAGCTGCATTTAAACCGAATGTGTATGTGGATTTAAAAAAATAATCTAATGTGCTAATACAAGATATAAACTAAACTGGTGAAGCACCAGTCACAGCTCTGTCAATATCATAAACGCTCAGCCATTCTTGCCTGATACCCTGTAATAGTTTTTGAACCGACACTCACACATGCTGGGTTTGGGAAACGCATCCAAGAACCAATTAGGTTTGCCAGTGTTTGGATAAGATTGGTGGTTCATTCTCAAAAAAAACAAAAAAACAATACATTTCTCAGTATCAGTGTAGCAGCTTCTGGGAAGTCTATTCCTGGTGATTTTAAGGCACAAATATGATTCACTGGATAATAAAAGCAGCTGTCTTGTTTTGCTCAAGAATACAGACTTTATCAAACATCTTAATTCCTACAAAATGTATAGACAGATTAATTTGACTGGCACAAGGCATAAAGTCACCCTCTCACTGATTCTAGTACATCAGTACACATCCAGGAAAGTTATGAACGCTTCTGATAAAGCTTTGTGAACAAACATAGTTGTAGACACAAATGTATCTTCCTGTTCGGTTATAGCATGTGCAGGAGAAGCTTGAGCTTTATTTGAGATGTTCAATGATGGATATCTCGCCATGATCAAGACAGTCCGGAGTAAGACCGTTCAGGTACAGGCTGCCATTTTTGGTCAAGGTTGGGAGACCTTCTTTCTCAAGTTCATCTGTGAAGTTTACAGACAGGGTCCTCTTGCACGGCATCATGTCCTGACCTGGATTTTGGCCTAGCTCTGATGACAGCTTGCGCTTGATGTATGCTGCCCGCTGAAACTTGTCGTAAATGTCCACGCTCAGGCGGCGGCGTGTCTCTTTAAATTCCGCGGACACATTAGCTGTCCATTCTGCAGCGTGAGCGCGGAACTCTCCCACCTGGAACAGAAGGAATGTTCAGTGGGACCGAACGCAGTCAAGTGTCACATGTGTTTAGAAGCATTTAAGAGGTGCAAATCAGAACTTCAAAAACCTGTTTTCTGTGAAAATGTTTCAGCTCGAGGGAATGAGAAGCATGTGGGCTGATTCAGCCTCAATGCAACTGGGAGTGTTGTAGAAAGTAATTCAGGCCTACTGCTATAAGACTGTACAGTTCATCCACCATGTGCAGAGATGCTACGGATCTTTAGGACCCCCTCATCCCAATCCATAGCTATTATTGGGCTTATCATGTGTAAAGGCACAATATGTAAGATTTTTTTATTAAAATATCCAAAAACCACTAGAACAGTGTTATATATTTTGCTTACTTGTGTACTTACATTATCCCAAATGTTTCGAAGAATGTTTAAATTCAGAGAAATAAGCAATTTTAACTAGTGACACGGAGCGTGTCCATAGTGTCATTGTGTCGCCTGCTAATGAAGTCATAACCCCTCGATTTCTGTTTTTGTTTTGTAGAAAATATGGAAACACCAAAGACGCTTTAATATGTTGTGCGTTTTAATAGACCGGTGACGACCGCACAGAGTAGCATTATAACAGAACTTTCAAATGTATCTAGTATGATAAAACAGCTTTTTTCCCCCCACATACGCACGACCGGAAGGAGCGGAAGCGGTCGACTGTGGCATAATAAAAGCTCCGCTGCTTTACCCCACATACACACGACCGGAAGCAGCGGAAGC